AAGGTCCGCAGCTTGGGAGTGCTCCTCGACCCAGAGCTTTCACTGAAAGCTCAGGTGACAGCGGTGGCAAGGAGCACTTTCTTTCGGCTTTGGCTGATCCATCAGCTGCATCCCTACCTGGAGAATGACTGCCTGGCGACAGTGACACACGCATTGGTGACTTCCCGACTTGACTTCTGTAACGTGCTCTACGTGGGGCTGCCCTTGAAGACGGTCCGGATATTTCAATTGGTTCAAAATAGAGCTGCCACGCTGCTGATGGGGACTGGGCATTATGTTCACATGTTTCCAGTTCTCCATCAGCTTCACTGGCTTCCCATTGAAGTTCGGGCCCAATTCAAGGTGTTGCTTATGACCTATAAAGCACTTAACGGCTTAGGTTCTGGTTACCTGAAGGAGCGCTTACATCCATATATGCCCGCCCGCCCCTTGAGATCAGTGGGAGAGGCCCTTCTCCGGGAACCCTCCGTGAAAGACATTAGAAGGCAAAGTACCCGGAGGAGGGATTTCTTTGCGGTGGCGCCCAATCTATGGAATGTGTTCCCCAGAGAGGTCCACCTGGCGCCGTTGCTATTTGTTTTTTGGCGCCAGGCGAAGACCTTTTTATTTAAGCGTTATTTTAATAGTTAATATTATTTATTTATTCTTTGGCCAGGTCGACTCAAATTATATTGTTTTTATATTGTGATTATTTATTTATTGTGAGCCGCCCCGAGGCTTCAGTGAATGGGGCGGCATAGAAGCGTACTAAATAAATAAATAAATCAGCTGGGAGACTCTCCTGCACACTCCAGAGGGAGCTGCCAAGTGACACAAGTAGCTCACACAGTTGTGCCTTTATGATATCAAGACAAAGCAACAACCACAACCACAAGAGCAAAACCAAAGCAGAATTGGTATATTCTTCTAACATCTGTTTCCAAAGATGGTCTGCGGCATAGGCTAAGCAGATCCTAATAGAAGACGGACAAAAGAGATGTCAAAAAACTACCCTTTCAGTAAAATTTCATCCCAAATCTGTGCACAGAGTCAGCTGAGAAGCTGTGCTTTAAACTATTCTCATCAGTTTATCACTCATTTGCTTGTTTATATACAACGGCCCTGCAAAACCAAGTTCTCTGAGCAGCTTATAATAAACAAACATAGCAAGAATTGAAGGCACAATCCTGCATGTGCTTAGACGGAAAGAAGCCTCTTTCCCAGCCACTTCATGTTGCTTAAATATGGCAACCAAACAGCGCCCCCAAAGTGATTTAAACTGAGAGGCCTGGAAGGAATTAGCCCTGGGCGACCCGAAAGGCCTTTATCCAACAGCAAGAAAACCCGAGGAAAGGTGCCAGGTGACTGTCACTAGGAAGGCACTGTGAAACGGGGCCACAACCGCAGGGACCCTCCCACAGGGTCTTGACTGTACCTGCATCAAGCGTGTGCCAACATTTTCTTCAGAGAGAGGTGGCTGGCAAAGGGATTGGTCCCAGTGGAGGAATCCTTTCTGGGGTGAAAGGCGGTGGGGAGCCTGCACTGCAGGGAGAAAAGCCCGAAGCCCCTTCCCCATGTGCAGTGGCCTCGATCATTTCAAGAGCATCTTTGGTTCTCTCCCCCACCCCACCCCCCAAATAAACCCGGAGGTTTACAGTGCAATCCTATATGTGTCTACTGTGAAGTAAGCTCATGCACTCAGCTGGAATGACTCAGGTAATTGTGCATAGGACTGCAGCCATGTAAGGTCTCATCTCTTCTGGCCCTGCATTATCACAATGCTACTTTACTGCTTTGCTGCAATCGACCAACATTCATTCATTCATTCATTCATTCATTCATTCATTCATTCATTCATTCATTCCGTGGTGTTTCCTCACCCCTTCAGAGGCCAGTTTCTCCCTGTGAGTGAGCTTGCATAAAGGCAGAGGAAGAAAAAGCAACTCCTTATGCTCCGACCACCAGCTTCAATTTCTAGTTCACTGGTGGTGAGAAAGAAACCTTTTGATCTCTAAATTTTCAGCCCTTTATGACTGAGGTCGTGTGCCTTTAACAGCTGCACACCTGGGAAAGATAGTCAAGAGGTGCAGCTTTAAAGTAGGAAAAGCATCTTCTCTTAACGTCATCTGCCATCTGCCATGCTTTCCAAGTCACAGAGCCAAGGACAGGGAGGGGCAGCTGCGTCACATCCCCCCACCCCCGCCTGCAAGCACACACTATTCAAGCATGGCCTCCGTCCGATCCCTCTTCTCTGGGACCCTGAAGGGGCTGCTGCAGGGAAATGAGGGAGCTGCAGGTGCTCCAGAGAATTCAGCGTAGCATCTGCTCCCTGGGCCAGCCCATCCTCCCCACTCCGGGACAGATTAGCAAAGGGGTTTCCGGGCTCTATTGAGCAGCTGCTGCCATCTCACTCCCTACCCAGACTCCAAAAGAAGGAAGCTAGGGAAGGGGAAAAGGATTGGGTCAGGAAGAGGGACGTGCATGTTAGAACAGAAGCAGCCTGAAGCCTGGACAAGGGAAGAACCGGCTGGCATAATTGCAAAACATAAGGCAGGGCTTGTGAGGGACCTAACAAAGCCCTCTGTTACAGCCAATCATGCCATTTTTACATAATGTGCATGCATGTGTGTGTCTCTCTATGCAAATTATCTATTAGTTACTGTTGCTTTATTAAGTATCAATTATTATTAATTCTTCAGAACTTGGAAGAACTAGAATCTAGTCCTGCTTGGTCCTGAAGCTCGCTCGCTCGCTCGCTTGCTCACTCACAACTCTGCAGGTCATTAAGCCTAACCTACCTCACTGGGCTATTGAGAAGATAAACTGGAGAGGAGGAGAAAAATTATGCAAGCCAACTTAGATTCTTTGCAGGATAAGAGATGGGATATAAACCTAATGACTAAATAAACAAACAAGCACCAACACCAATGTGAACTTTAACAAAAGAAATTACCTAAACAAACAGCAGTGAATGGAATAACAAACCAGAAAGAATGTCATTGCATCAGAAATGCTCTGATGTTCTGGAGGCCAGCAGCTGGACAGTATTGCTACCATGTGGCCGAGACGCTTCTCATTTAGCCTCCCCAGACCTCCGGATGCAGCTTCAGCTGCTTTGTATCCCTGACGTCTAACTTTTCCATTTTATTCCTGAATATGGAAAAGCTTCAGACATTGGCCACAAGGTGGAGCACTTGCCGCCAAGCAAGCAAGGCTGAAAGGCCAGGTGCCCGCGCACACGGGGCGCACTTGACTGAGCTTAGGCTTGGCCGAGCAGGGCACCGGTTCCCGTGGCAGAGTCCCACGTGTCTGTATCCACGCAGATGTGCGTATCAGCCAGGCAGCCAAGGCTCACGGGGAACACACGTGTCGGTGAGCAGGGGACATGCTGGCAGGCATGATATTATGGTGGTCTTTAATATATGTGAGTTCCAGGGTGTGTTGTGGTTTGTAGGTTAAAACTCAGCAAGCTGAATTGGATCCAGAAACGCCACCACAGGCTGTGCAGCTAATGAAGCAAGGGTTGCAGATGCTTTTGTAGAATGATCAACACCATAACAGCAATGGCAATGATGATGCTTTGCAAATAGTCTCTTTCTGTTCTTTTAATTCCCTTTCTATAGCCCACTCTCTTTCTTTCCCTCATCTCCTCTTATTCTGCTCCTGGTTATCCTCTCCTATGACTTTTCCTATTCTCCCACCCCTTGGAAGGTTGATATTATTCTGATGAGACCCTTTCCAGAGAAGGGTGCTCAGCGAGCAGGTAAAAGTTTCCTCCAGAGAGCATCTTCCTGATGGAGCCCTGGCATCGTGAGGCGAAATAGGGCAAGGAATCCGTGGCCTCAGCCTGGCACCCCGTCTGATAAAGCCAGACTCCCTCCTCACTGCTCCCCTCCTGCCTCTTGCACCCCTGGGCTTCTGCAAGGGTCCCCCCCTTTCATACTGTTCTCTCTTGGACTACACCCATGATGCCAGAGCAGGTAACCGTGGCTGAAGGGATATCAAATCCACTGTGACTCAGCAAACCAGGCTCTCAAACCCACCAGAGACATATGTGGAATCAGAGTAGAGCCAATTCCAGTTCAGTATGACGCCCCCTAAAGCCAAGTTTCCTATGGCCCCATGTGCATCCACGCCATCACAGTCAACAGAAATCACCAGTGATGTTCCAGAAGCTCAGGATGCGCATTGCTCTGTGCACTTCCCTTTAATTTCAGGGCAGGCTCTCCAGTGGATTTTGTGTCCCATTCAATGGCAGTAAATGAACTGAGAGCTCTGCAGTGGGCAAAGCGGCTGTCGGGGACGGAGGGAGGGAGTGCTTTCCAAAGAGTCCCACGGTTTGAGCGGAAGTGACACGCAGGGCTTCCTCCGTTCAATGTGTCTTTCGCTGCCTCTGCGCATGCATGTGTGTGTTTATGTTGAGAGGGATGGCTGTTATCAAAAGAAAAGAAATCAAGAAATACATTTGGAAAGAAGGATGAAAGGAAGTTGGCCCCACTGACCCCAGATTCGGAGTTCAGTCACCCACCAGGGAGACTAATTCTCCCTCTTTCCCCTAGAGGGGAAGCCACCTCATTAGACAGAGCCGCTAATCATCTGGCGTCCAGGCGATTATCTGGGATGGGTCACATGATTACACTCCTCGCTCCCCCTCCACCCACCCCAGACCAGCTTGGCCAATCTGGCTCAATCAGATATTCTGTCTCTCACAAACTAGAGGTCTCGGCACAGCATCCGCGCCACCCTGGCCGTCGAGGCAGCGAGAGGGCTCAGGAGGGCCCTGCTTCTAATTCCAGACCCCCAGCAGCTCCTCCTAGAAACCCCAGGTGTCCCAACTCCTCACCCCAGTTTCTCCTCTCCCCAGGAGTTCTGACTTCCAGTCTCACCGCTTCCTTTCCTGAGCACATCCTGCTGAATTCTGCTTTCTCCACTGCCCTCTTATAACTTGCCTTCTAGAATTCCTCCTCTCCCAAAGAACCAGACAGTCCTTCCAAACAAGCAAATTCCCAACAAAATCTACCCCCTCCCTCAGATAGCCTAAGCCCCACTCCAAATGAGCTCTGGGGGGCTGGCGGCCCCGTCCCTTCCTCCCACCCCAGAAGACCCTCCTCCAATTCGGGGCACCCGCCTGCCACGCCCCTTTCTCCGCAGCCTCCGGACACTCTTTGAAATCCTGGATGACCAGCAGAGTGGGACCATCCACGTCTCAGAGATTGAGAGCCGCTGGGGCCGCGGAGGCTCTGGGGTGACTGCCCAAGGAGACAGAGAGAGATGCCAGCTTCCAGCCGGGGTCCTCCAGGCCCTCCAGCAGGTGGCAGAGCCCTGTGGGGGCTATTTGAGCTTTCCCCGCCTGGTGGCTGGATTGAGAATTGCCCTCCTCCGGGCGGAAGAAGAGGAAGAAGCGGAGAAGGCGAGAGAGGGCGCAGGAGCTGGCCAAGCCGAGGGTGGACAGAGCTCATCCCAGTCTATGAAGAACCTGAGCCGGATACGTAAGTGAGGCCAGAGGAGTGCTGAGTCCGGTGCTGGCAGGGGGTGTGGAGGGGGGTCCGGCCTGGAGCAGGATTGCTGGGTTCTCTGAGACGGGAAGCCTAGCAGACCAGTGCAGGGGGGCTGGGAACTGGTGTGCCTCGATTCTCTGGGGAAAAGTGAGCTCTAATGGCGCTTGGACTAAATAGCCCCCTACTAGGGATGTTTAATCCTTAAAATAATGGGTAAATCAAAAGGTTTTTACCTGGCACAGAAAAGAATGTAAATTAATTGATTACAAATGGTTCTATCTGATTCTTTGTTCTGTGGATCATTGCTCTCCCCCCGTTCTGCAGTATCGCTGCTTCTCTGCTCGGCTTGTGATGGGTGCTGAATGTGGGGCTTGCTGAGAAGGGCCCCGATGTCAAAGGAGCTAAGCTAGCCTGCCCTTGCAGTGCCCCCTTCCAGTTTGGTGGAAACAGTGGAAAACTGGGAAGTTGATTCCTGGCATGGGGTGGAGGGAAGGGAGAGGAGGCCTCAGCAGCAGTGAGAAGAACCAGGAGTGGACTGGTAGAGATGATTCCAGTTTCCGCCAGCCCCAAGCAAGAAACCTGGAGTGGCTCTGGGTTGCTCTTAATGTTGCATGACCAAGGGGCAGAAATTGCAGCTCAGTTTGCAAAACTCAGCAGGACAAACTTTTTATGGCACAGAGATTCTCCCCTCACTGGCAAATGTAGCCTTCCCAACCTGCCTCCCTCCAGCAGTGTTGGTCAACAACTCCCAGAATCCACCAGCTATGCCTGGAGCTTATGGGAGATGTAGTTCGGCACTTCTGGAGGGCACCCAGTTGGGAAAGTGTATCTACACTTCCGGGACCTGTTAAAGGCACAGCAGCCTTTAAAGGGCGAGGCCCCAGCCCTGGGTGGCTGGGCTCAGGGGCCAGAGCAGTGCGGTGCTTAGCAAGACGGACCAGGACTGGGACTTCTGCTTCCCAGCCTGGGCTCATCGTATGCATGCATAAGAGGCTCCACGGTGCCTTTTTTTGCGAGGGGGAAGCAGCCTAAACCCGGCAGGCCTTTTGCCTGAAGCCGCTTGACTCTGCCTGTCTCACTGAATACAATTTTTCAAAAGGTCTTGGAGAGAAAGGAAACGGTGTCCCTCGGGAAACGTTTGCCATGATTTCCTTTTCTGATCAGTTGCCAGAATTGGGGCTTATGTCAGAATGGGCTAGGATGCCTGGTGTGTTTTTCCAGGCCTTTCTCCTCTGCCGCACCCTTTGTGGCTTGAGGAAGGGAAAAACAAGGAAAGTCTGGGTGGCCGTGCCGAGACTGTTCAGCTCCAGGACGGAGGACGTTTGGTACCCTGACGGGGGTCAGCGTGGCTGGGCAGCCACTAAGCACCCTGGTGCATCTGCTCCTTCTAAAGGGGAGCTCTTTAAAATCAATGTCGCTTTATTTATTCAAAAGATGTATTAGCCTTTTAGGGCAGAGGAGCTTCCAAAAGGAGGGGCATGTCATGAGCGGAGCCAGCTAGAGCCGGGGGGGGTCAGATTAGATAACCCAGGAGACCCCTTCTGACTCGCTCTATGTTTCTAAGTAGGCTTTTCAAAGAAAAAAAATACAATATAATTTCACTTCATAATAGAAAGCAACACCTGGCTTGCCATGGCTTGTTTGAGGGGTTGTTTGAGTGTTAGACAACCCTCAAATAATCCTAAAACAAGCCATGGGTTATTTGAGGGTATTTTAACCTTCAAACATCCCCTGTTGTCTGGGCTTGTATGACGTGATAAGCCGTGGCAAGCCAGGCACCTGTGGATTCCCAGCTTGGTGGGGCAGCCTGTGTGGGTGAATTAAGCCACCGTGGGCTGTTGTGCTGTGCAGACCCGGTCAGGGGGAAGAGCAAAGCTGGAGGGAGGGTGCGAGGATGCGCAGGTGACAGAGCATTCCTGCCAATCGAAGTCCTGCAGCTCTGGGCTCCACGGCACCTCAGTGCAGAGAAGTACGGCTGAGAAGATCCTGCAGCCTATTTGGAAAAGCAACCTGAAATACCCAAGGCAGGCTCTCCTCCTGCCGGCAGAAAGATGCCCCGGAGTGTTTGGGGGAGGAGTGGAATCAGGATGGAAAGGGGAGTGATCAGAGGCGGCGGGCTCTGCCCCAGGAGCGCTCTCCCTCAGCCCAGCCTTGCGCCTCCGGCAGGCCTTCAGCAGCTCAGCCAGGGCACCATACGGCCAGCGGTTTAGTGCTCCTGATCCTGTCTCCTCCGCCATGGAGACGAGCAATCCTCTTACCCCACTGCTCTGATCCAACTTCCCTCCACAGTAAGGAGCTTTCGTTAATGGGCCATGCACTGGGCAGAGGACAGAGGCTGGGGGTGGGGGATTAGGAAGCTGCGGAAATAACCCCCCAGGCCCCCTCGTCTCCTCCTGCCCACCCGTCCCCCACAACAAGATGGACGCTGGGCGGCTCTTCATTTCACACCCACCCCATGCCTAGGTGAGGTGTGGCTTTGGGGTTTGTTCCAAACCTCTCCATTTTGTCAGCAGGAAACGTCCTGCCGCTCCAGCCGGTGGCGCTGGGCAGCTTTGAAGCAGGAGCCGCAGGTCCCCTTCGCAGAGCAGACCGAGCCAGAAATCTGGGCGTCGCACCTCCGTCTCTGCTTGGTGTGACTGGACAGGTTGACACAACACAGCAAGCTGTGCGGGCGGCTTGCTTGCCCCGGGGACAAACCACGGCCGTGTCCTGTAGACAACCAGGCCATCCTGGCCGTGGAGTCCCAGCTCCGCCTTCTCTGCCCTTGGCCCTCCAGCAGCGGGGGAAGCAGAGGAAGGGGAGCCGGTCGCCCCGCTGAGGGTGAGGCAGGAGCAGGCCCGCCCTCACCGCTGCCCCAGGCCGCAGGGTTTGGGCCTCATGACAAGGCAGCTCACTGTGGGTGGCTTCCTGTGTCGTTCCTGCCTGAAAGCGGGAGAGGGGCTGGAGGGGCTTTCTGCCCCAGGAGCCTAACTAGCGTCACTGTGTGGGGAAACCGTGCAGCTTCACTTGGCAGCTTGCGGGCGTAGTGGGGGCCCCCGTCGCCGCTTTTCCTCAGGTCCCAAAACACCTGGGCCAGCCTTGCTAGCAGATCTTCTGGTCATGAGGGCAGTTCCTGAAGTGAATGTCTAAATGCAAAAGGGTGTGTGTGTGTGTGTGTGAGAGAGAGAGAGAGAGAGACAGACAGACAGACAGACAGACAGACAGACAGACACATTCCCGTGGCCACCATCTCTGGAAGACACAGATGCCAAGTGAGTCAGTTCTCTCCACAACTTCATAGTGCTCCAACCTTAGATGATTTATTTATGTAAAGACTTTAAAAAACAACAACACATATTCTTTTATGTATTGTGGGTATATTTTCCTGTACCACCTCTCAGTCATGCTTCCAGAAAGCTTTAAAAGAAATATTACCACAACGTAATAAACAAGAAACCACAGGAATGCCACACAAGTAACACAGAAGCACCTGCAAGTTTAAAATTGCATCATTCGTGTTTGTGGCATGCAACTGCTGCTTTGCTTGCAGGCGAATTGATACAGCTAGCTGAAAAAGGGAAGTTCTTGAAAGGTAGCTACAAAATATATTGCTATGTTTGTATCATGATTATTATTCCATCACGAGAAACCCAGACAACCCCCTGGAAAGCTTATTTGAGGGGTGCCAAGAGTATCCTTTGATGCAGCCCTCCTGGGACGTCTGCATTTCTCCCTTGCAAACAAACCCGCACAGGAAGTTGTCATTTCTGCTTCCTGCATCCCTGCTGGGCTTCTCAGTGGCTCTGCTCTTTCCCACGTTGAGAGGCTGGGCAGTGAACGTTGGACGTATTTCCTCCTTCGAAGATCAGCCTCCACCAGTGTGTTTTCTTTCCACCCAGTCCTGGTTCCACGGTGCCAGCCTCAGCACCTGGGCTGGGTTCCCACGTCACGACACGCAGCTCTGTGTGGCCTGTGGCTTTTTCTTCAGCCTCGCAATCGGACAGAGAGGCTCCCGGTGGGACATTTCCTCCCTCTGGCCGACTCTTTCCCTCTCAGTCCTCCAGAAGGTATCCCAGGAGGCTCCTCTCCTTGGCAGCTGCAGTGATGAGTGCCGTTTGGCTTGTCAGGCGGCTCTGCTGCGCACGCAGGGCTCATGTCCTGAAGCACAGCTGAGAGGGTGGGGAAACGGATCAGGCCCCTCGCCTGCTTCTCCGGGGGGCCTGCCAGGGGCCCTCAGGCAAAAGGGCAGTGGGAGGAAACCAGCTGGGCAGCACTGCAAAAGGAAACAGCAGCAGCACTCAGCTGAGCCCCCTCACTGCTCTGCCACGCACGCAGCTGATGGAGGCCCCTCACGGGTGCCTCTGGGAGGGCAGGGAATCCGCCGGGCAGTGACGCTCAGCCGATTGCCCTGCTTGTGCCCTTCTTGCTCCCGCTTGCCTGCCGTGCCTGCCTGGGGGCCTTTCTTGCAAGCAGGAGCCGCAAAGGAGGGGAAGCACTTGCCCTTCTCTCTCATGAGTGGGGCTGAGAAATTGGGGCAAATCGGCTGAGTGGTGCCATCCCCAAGCAGGCCCCACTGCCCAGCTTTTTCTCACGCCTCCTGCTCCTGCAAGGACAGCTTCCCTCCGGCACAGAGGAAGCGGGGGCATCAGCCGAGCAACACCACTTTTTCCTGCAGCACTGTCCAGCTGACTGCCTGCTTCTGGCCTGGAGAAAATCTTTAGCACAGGAGGCGGGCAGAGATGGGATGCCTCTGACAGTCATGCAGAGCAGCATCTCCAGCTCGCTGCTTGGCAAGAACAGCGAGAATGGCAGCGCTCTGGTTCTGGCCTTCAAACCACCATGGTCTGGTTTTCTGGGTTCAGAAAGCACAACAAGCCACGGTGGTGCAAGGAACCATAGGAAGGTTTGTGGTTTCTAAAGGCCAAGCTGTCTGTGCTGAATACACGGGCTGGATGACACAGCAGACCAGGAATGATAAGACACTGCTGTGGCTTGTTGGGTCACGTAAACCC